GGGCTGGGGATTCGAACCCGCCACCTTAGGTGTATGTGGCTGGCGCCGTAGCCGCTTGAGCCACAGGCGCCGGGCCTCTCCTTCACTTTTGAAGGATAATGTCACTGGATACAAAATTCTAGATTGATGGCTTTTTGTCTTTCAGCACTTTAAATATTTCACTCTACTCACTTCTTGCTTGAATGGTTTCTTAGGTATATGCAAGGAATGTAATTTTTATCCTTATTTCTTTGTAAGTAGAGTGGGGGTTTTCCTCTCTTTCTCTGTCTCTTGCTTCTTTCAAGATTTTTCTCTTTGCCTTTTAATTTCTGTAGTTTGAATATACTGCATCTAAATGTAGGTTTGGGAAGTATTTATCCTGTTTTATGTTCCCTGAGCTTCCAGGATCCTTGACTTCATGTCTGTAAGTGTTTTTGGAAAATTTTCAGCCATTATTACTTCAAATATTTCATCTATTCTTTTTCTCTTTTTATAGTCCTTCTGCTATTCTTTTTATCTTTTTATATTCCTTCTGGTATTCCCATTACACCTTTTCTGAGTGTCCCAGAGTTCTTGGATGTTTTCTTCCATTTTTTCATTCTTTTTTCTCTTTGCTTTTTAGTTGTAGAAATTTCTATTGCAAATTTTTGAGCTCACTGATTCTTTCCTCTGCTGTGACCAATCTACTCATGAACCATCCAAGGCATTCTTCATTTCTGTTACAGTGTTTTTGATTTCTAGAATTTTTAAAATGTTTTCTTAGAGTTTTCATTACTTTGTTTACATTATTCATCTCTTCTTGTCTGTGGCACACTTCTTCCATTAGAGCTCTTAACATATTAATCATAATTATTTCAACTTCCCAGTCTGATAATTCCAAAACGTCTACCATATCTGAGCTTTGCCTCTTCAGACTGTGTGATTTTTTGTTTTGTTTGATTTGGTTTGGTGGTGGTGGTATGTGGTTGGGTTGTTTTTGTTTTTGCATGCCTTGTAACTTTTTGTTGAAAGCTAGACATGATCATGATGTATTATGTCAGAGGAACTGAGGTGAACAAGTCGTTAGTGTAAGGTTTTATGTTCATCTGACTAGCAGTTAGGCTATGTTTACTGTTCACTGTAGCTATGGTATCAGAGTCGGAAATTTCCTCCACTGACCCTGTTTTTGTCTCCCCTGTTGTCTTTGGGTTTCCCTAGAGACACCTTCTTAAATAAACATGTAACTCCTTCAGTTATAATCCCCTGTTCTTACGTAGGAACCCTATGGATGGAATCATAAGGTGTGGGGTGAATCAGCATTCTGCAGTCCTGTGATTTGATCTCATTCTGGGCTTCCAGGTGTTTTTTTCACCTTTCACATCCACCCTCTTAGGGGAGATCAGAAGCATAATGGGCTAGAGTTGAGTGTTTCCTGACATTGAAGCCTAGAGCAGCCTGGATTGTCACAGGTATGTTAGAGTCTGTAGGAGTCCAACTCTAATTATTAGATTCTGATAAAAACCCAAGTAACTGACAAAGTTAAAAAGTTTCCCTTGGCTCGGCGCCTATAGCTCAACCGGCTAAGGCGCCAGCCACGTACACCTAAGGTGGCGGGTTCGAATCCCCAGCCCGGACCCGCCAAACAACAATGATCGCTGCAACCAAAAAATAGCCGGGCGTTGTGGCGGGCGCCTGTGGTCCCAGCTACTTGGGAGGCAGAGGCAGGAGACTCACTTGAGCCCAGGAGTTGGAGGTTGCTGTGAGCTGTAATGCCACGGCACTCTACCCAGGGGGACAGCTTGAGGCTCTGTCTCAAAAAAAAAAAAATAAATAAATAAATAAATAAAAATAAAAAAAAAATAAAAAGTTTCCCTTGAGGGCAGAATTTGAGAACAGAGAGTGCTGTGCATATTTCGAATTGGCTACTTTCCCCCTTACTCTGTCATAAGCACTAAAATTTTTTTCTCTGATCCTCACTCTGGGAGCCCAGTGAAGATTCTAGAGCTAAACCTTATGGAAGTGTGGGTAATCAAAGGTTTTGGTCTCAAATGCAAGCAGTCCTCCCACATTGGCCTCCCAGAGTGCTAGGATTACACCCAGCCTCCAGGCAGTTTTTAGTATTATATTTGTGACTCCAGTTGCATCACTTAAGCATAGTTGCATCATTTAAGCATACCCCATTACATGTCATGGCCTTGCCCTTTTAACTCTTACGTCATGTTAGTTCAAGAAGTAATTCTCTCTTTAATGCTCACAACTGGTATATCAGTGTCTCTCTTATATATTCTTCCAGAAGGGGTCACAAAAGCAACCTTCCCTGAGTTCTTATACATTGATGTTTATCTGGATTCTTTTTTTTCAATTTTTACTTATTTATTTGTTTATTTATTTTTTGGATTCTTTTCTTTTTAATTTTATTTGCTATTGTTTGGGATTCATTGCAGGTACAAAAGAATTAGGTTACACTGATTGCATTTGTTAGATAAAGTCCCTCTTATAATTCTGTCCTACCCAGTAAGAGGTATATCATACACTGTGACCCTCCATCCTCCTCCCTTCTCCCCTCTTCCCACTCCCTCATTTCCCTACCCCACCCCTTGTATTAGTTCTTCTGCCTTCAAATTAGAATTGAGTACATTGGAGTCTTGCTTCTCCATTCTGTGATGCTTTCCTAGGAAGAATGTGTTCCACCTCCATCCAGGTTAATACGAAAGATATAAAGTCTCCATCTTTTTTAGTGGCTGAGTAGTATTCCATGATATACGTATACTATAGCTTGTTAATCCATTCCTGGGCTGGTAGACATTTAGGCTGTTTCCACATTTTGGCAATTGTAAATTGAGCTGTGATAAACAGTGTAGTGATAAAAGATTTTTTTCTTCTGGGTAGATGCCTAGTAATGGGATTGCAGGATCAAATGGGAGGTCT